AAAATTCTGAATCGAGTATTTCGGTGTGGAGCCGAGCCAAGAAGAAGAGAAACAGATGAGGGAAGATAATGATATGAACGGAAAAGACGACAGTTGCTGCATCGACGGCAACAGCAAAAGCATAAATCCAATCAAAGATGCCGGAGCCGGAGGGACAGGCTCCGGCGAAGGTGAAGTAGAAGGACTATCATCATCGAAGAATAAAGGAAAGTCGTGCAAAGGATGTCTATATTATTCTTCTACTTTCAAATCCAATTCTCGCAATCCTCTCTGTCTCGGCCTTAGCCGTTCCCTTCCTCAAGGTTCCCCTTCTAACCCTTTTCGTTTTCCTTTTTTTTTCTGCCTTTTTAAAAATGTGTTGTTACTTGCTTATTGGCCATTTCTTTTGCTAATTTTTATTGCTTGCATTGATTCCTGTTTTCTGTTTTTCGTGGAATTATAAGTTTCATAATTCAGGGCTCGTTACAATTTGCAGCTTAAAATAAAGAAATTTCTCAGGTTTCTTACTGGTGAAATATTAGTACCTAATGTTCAATGGCTCAGTAGAAAATGTAGAGCTTCTAGTTTTACAGAATCCCTAATTGGTCCCAAAAGGCAATTTATCGAAGATTAGAAGCCGAATGAATAATGAGGATTCATATATCCAGCACCATCTACTTTAGGATTAAGGCATAGTTCCAAATTGGTCTGAGGTCTCTCTATATAATGTTAGTGATACATGTTACTTGTGCTGTAATACTCTAAAAAGTAAGCATTTTGGGCAGCTGAGTTAGTTCTGGTCTGGTGATTCCATGTTATGTGAACTATCCTTTTGAGGAAAAATCATTTCTGCAGGAAAACAGGAAGCTAGAATCTCTGACGTACTCAATTGTTGGTCACATAGACCTCTGCTACTGTATCTCGTTATGCATTGAATGTTCCTTTGTTGTTATCATTTATAGCATATTGAAAATTAGACCCTGTATTGAATGTGTGCTGAGACTGGTTTCTGATGTTTGATAACAAGTACCTCGGTATATTGTTGGGGAATCTGAGATGGAAGCTTCTAAAGAGGGTCGGAGCCTTACGGATTTTAGATATGCTTGTGTCGGTTATTCTGTATACTTGGATCAGAAATCTCGATCAACTGATGCTCAAGAGACACAAACAGAATTGCCAGTCTGTGTTGGCCTTGAGGTTAGCATTCTACTTTAAATGCTCAAGTTTGCTTCATGCCTTGTTTCATGTTTGATGTGTTCTCGGGTATACATGGAGAAGAAGGCAAATTAATTTCTGTAGGAGATGTCATGCTTTGACATATTAGTTTTTAGTTTTCTCTTTGTTCTGACCAGTTACCAGTATTGTGTTTATATGCAATTTAATCCTTTGAAAGAGTTATAGTAAGATATAGCCACTAATAACTTCATGTTTTTTGTATTATTTCTGTTTACTCCAAAAAATGTTGCTCAACTAACTTAGATAGCATGGCGTAGGTTTTGGTGGATAAAAGACCCACTTCAGCTGATGCAGCTCCTGCTCCTGCTCATGCTCATGCCCAAAAGAAAGAAGGTGACTGCCATGATTTCATTTTTTCCCTGCCAAAAAATTATGCGTCTGATGTAATGCTATTGGTGTAGTGTGTTACTGCTTCATATGGATGTCTAAATTTGGTTCGAACATTTTTGTACATAGGGATGTGTTCTTGTTCCAGTTTCCCGAACATTATCATTTTCCAGTAACATATTTTTCATAATTAATTACATGCTTGGTGAAAGTTTATTTTTTGCTTTACCTACTGCATTCCTTTATTTGCACCGGGTGTCCGAGTCTCTAAGAGCCCCGACTAATCCCGGGGGTGCACAGGCCCTCGGCAAGGAGTTTCCCTCAAGTGCACCACGGTTAATTCAGGTTTTACCCAATCCGATGGCCCTCAGAAATTGTTTGCACCCAGTGAGTTTCGAACTTGAGACCTTGAAAGGGAGCAAACCCCAAGGCTCAAGTCAATTGCCACCAGGCCAACCCCTGAGGGTTATTCCTTTATTGTTCTTGAAGTAAAAAATTCAGAAATATTCTTTATCAACAAATCCTCGTTGAAAACTTAAAATTACTTTTCTATTTGTTGCTGAAGAACTGTTTATCCTTGTTGTTTAAAGTCTAATGACTGTTTTAAGCTTGGAAGCCACATTATAAATAAAATAGGGTTAATTTTAGAGACCTCCCTTCAGGTTTTGCCTCATCACACTAATCTCCCTTGTGGTTTGAGATATTACGTTTACCTGCCTTATTTATCTTTTTGTAAAAATTATTTTTGATCTATTTTTCATAAATAGGAAAAAATAGACTCTGACTGATTTGCCTTTCTTCCTAACATTTGCTCTTTTGATTAATATATTTCCATGAATATCTTCTTCAATTAATTCCTTTAGAACAGAAAAAGTTACGCTAGGAGTGACTGCGTGACTGCACTTCAACTTTTTTATAGGTCTTCTCATCATCTTCTATGTAAAAGCAATTAATCTTCATACAAAGACACTCGGCGGTGCTGTGTGCACAATCTCGTCGTTTATCTTCCTCTACGAGGTCACAATGTTTGAAAAGTTAAAGTTTTTCTTTTTCCTTATTTTAATTACTACTTTCTTTTTTTTCTACTCATGTTTGGTAACTGAAACTCTACTTTCTGGTGATGTTTGGCAATTGGAATTTCTACGATTTGGTATTAAGACATCTAACTATTGTTCCTTCTATCAGAGTGTTTTTATATTTGTCATTTTCATTTAATGATTCAAATATGAAGTGCAGTGACCATACAGAAGTGGTGAAATTAGAGCTAGCAAGAGGAATTGCTTCCTTTCCTTTACCTTTTTCATTCATAGTAGTGGAAGTCATCTCAAAGATTATGTGAAAGCTCTGTTGTTGAAGAAGATGTTCATTAAAATAAATTCAAAGGAGCAAAATGTTAGGAAGAAAGGCAAATCAGTCGGATCATATTTTTTTCCCTGTTAATGAAAAATGAATTAAAATTATTGTTACAAAAATCAAAATAAGGGAGTTAAGCGTAATGTCGCAAACCACAAGGGAGGTTAGTGTGATGAGGCAAAACCTGGGGGCAGGTCTTTGAAATTTTCCCTAAAATTTATATAATGGACATCCGGCAAGATTAAGGTTATCGAATTCAACATTTTACATCCAGAATGGAATGGCTGGTTTGACCTTTTGAAGTTGTCCGTCATAGCTCTTTTCAATCAGGACAAAGAAAAAACCTATCGATGCAAGAACAATTGTGCTTGTGAAGAGATTATCAATCAGCAGTAACTTTAGCCACTTGGGACCGGGATCTATCCACTACTCCTATTTTTTTTCCCCAGCTTTTCAACCTTCAACAAACGATCTCTCGCGATTTTAAGATGTCCTTTATCTGTAGAAATTAGAAGTTTGAATGCTGATTTTTTATCATGCTGATAGAAACTTATATCTGCATAATATACTCTTATGAGTAGCCCAAACATCTCCGCACACCATTACTTGTTGGTCATTAAACTAATGTCTGAGGTTTTATCTGTGACATGTATTTTTTTTAGCTGATCTGTATCTTTTATGAGTCAAGCGAGAGTTTCTAGGAGAAGGTGGCAGACAAATTCCTAGTCCGGGTTCAAACATATCTTTTCTGGCTTCTCTGTGTGTTAACTGTTGTTACCTCTCCACGCCTTTCATGCTATTAGCATACCATGTAGGATCTTTAGCAGATGACAACCTCTAAATGTGGCATATGATTTAGTAGCTGATCATAGTTTGATATGCAATGTAATTCAGCATCTTGTTCTGTAATGTTCGTTACCCCTTGCAGTTATTTGGACTATTACGTTCTTTATGTTTTGGTTTGATCATTGGCAACCTAATTTGGTTCTTCTGTTTTCTTTGAACTTTTTTATATTTTTAAAAGATGGAAATGGAGTTCCACAGCCTCGATCACATAAACCAACTCACGCAGCTGGTGATGAGTTCCTTACCAGGCAAGCAGTGTTTGAATATTGATAAATAATGTCTGCTTCAAGTGAGGCACTGTATAGAATTGTTTGATGATGTTTGTTCCCTTGAAAATACAGGTTTACCAGGAATGCTAACTTGGTTGCAATGGGAGTAGCCAAGAACTTGCGGAAAGTGGGAAACCGTATAAAAGAAAGTGTTGATGACATCTTCTACCGGCGGCCAAAGTAGGATTCTGATCCTGAAATAGAAGAAATGGATAAAAGAGCATTGAGCTGAACCAAATAAAGTTTACGTTTGCTTCATTTGCCTTGGAATAGGTTAAAGGGGAAACATGTAATATGTCTTATGAGATTTATTTTGGTGTTTGTATTATTGATTTTTCATTTAAGGAATGCTCTTATTCCAACAATATCAAAGTAAGAATCTTTTATTTCTAGTTACTACTATTTTATAAGGTGGTAATTGTTACTAATAATTCCTTAGATTTTACTTAAAAATATAAAGTAGGAACGTCGCGTCAAAGAACCTGCATTCCTTAAATGAAAGACGCCAGGTTCTTGCCCCGTCGTTGTGGCTCAAGATAACTTCTTTTTTTCTTTCATTTTTTATTTTCGGTCAAGATAACTTCTTTAACTCTTTTTTTCTTAGCTCGATCCTATTTTATTTGATATTCCAAAATTTTCAGAATACATTTAACTGGTCATAAAATCCAAAAAGTGAATGTAATATTATCCTATTTTTTGTCTGTGTTTGGTGTGATGGAAAATAAGTGAAGTTTTTAGCGTTTAGTTGCTAGAAATGATTTTTTATCACTCTTTAGTATTCAATAAAACTGTGTGATTAACTAACATTACTACTATTAATCTTCAATAGATATTTTTTTACTCTTCAACCGAACTCAAAAAAGACATTTTAGGATTTTTTTTTTTTTTTTTTCACATTGTGAAAATTCTCTTTATTATTACCGGCAAACCTTTTACAAGGATCGAAATTATATGAGGTAAAAGGAGGATAAAAGCATATTGCATTGGTGGCGGTTTTTCCCTGAAAATGGAAGTTGAAAGGAGAAGCAAGCAAATGTTCAAACATTAAAAACAATAACCAAATAAAGAAATCCTGAACTACTATTTCATTATCCCCAAGAAAAACGTGTTCCGTCTCCTGCTCATTGATAAGAATACCATTCACTTCTACTTTTTGATTCACAAATTCAACTGTATACTCAACCACGAAGACGATTGCTTCGCATGAATTCAAATGGCCGCTTATGCGGCATGTAAACGGGTCGGGTATTTCGGACCTAAACTCGGAGCTCTTTCAGGACGCAACCAATTCCACGGCAGACTCATTTCGAACCCTTCTTTCAATGGCAAGCGCTTATTCCTCGTCGACACTCTAGCTCTTGTAATAAGTATTTCTTTTCTTTTCTTTTCTTTCTTTTTGTTCGCTTTTCATTTTTTTATCCTGCTTCTATCAGAAATTGAAATTGAAATTGAATTTGAATGATGAGTAGTATTTGCTTTTTCAGTTTTTAAATTGGCCTAAGAATGATTTTTTTTGGTTAGGTGAGAAGACTGGAAGCACAAGGGGTGCCTACGAAGCAAGCTGAGGCTATTACTGCTGCTATTACTGAGGTTTTGAATGACAGCTTGGAAAATGTTGCTCAGACTTTTGTTTCTAAAGAAGAGTTACAGACAGTATGTATATATATATTTTTAAATTTTTTATACATGTAATTTTAATTTAATCAGCTTAAACTTTGTACGAATGTGATATTATTTTCATCTATATAGCTTGAGATGATTCAAGAATCCAAGTTGTCCAAATTTAAGTCCGAAGTTCAAAGCTCTCAGGTATCCGTTCTTCACTGTAAAATTTGTGGATTCACATTTTGATGCACTGAGTATGGCTAATTTAGTTTTGCATTGATTGGTCTTAACAAATTTTACATGCCCTTTTTTTATAAAGAGATTCTGTTGGTGGAAAATTTTCTCCTTCGTCATTGTGTTTTTTGGTAAAGGTCGGGACTTGGAGTGGTTTACATGCCCTTTTTTTTTATAAAGAGATTCTGTTGGTGGAAAATTTTCTCCTTCGTCATTGTGTTTTTTGGTAAAGGTCGGGACTTGGAGTGGTTTACATGCCCTTTTTTTTTATAAAGAGATTCTGTTGGTGGAAAATTTTCTCCTTCGTCATTGTGTTTTTTGGTAAAGGTCGGGACTTGGAGTGGTTTACATGCCCTTTTTTTTTATAAAGAGATTCTGTTGGTGGAAAATTTTCTCCTTCGTCATTGTGTTTTTTGGTAAAGGTTGGGACTTGGAGTGGTATTATGCCGAATGAGTTGTTCATCCATTATGCATATGGCCTTTGGGAATTGTCAAGGCCTTTATTGAAAGAAAATGTTCTCTTCCAGAACTGGAGTGATCTTACGAGAACTCTTCACACCAGGAAGATATTATAAGGGTCTTTCTTTTTCTAGATATCACCAATGACCAACCCTTGCATGAACTGCTAAGTGCTAAGGACCCATTGATCCAATAGTCTTACATTGATTCCTTCATATGTTTCGGTTGGGTAAATATGCCAATAATGATTTGGATGGGTTTCTCCTAGCTCAAAACTAGCATTTTTGCCCTGTTAGTCCTCCAACACCTAACTAACTTAATTTTTCTCCTATGAACTAGTTGTGTACTGTACTACTATCATATAAAAGCCTGGTATTTAAGGGAGGAGGGTATAGGGGTGGGCCCATTGTCCACTGAGTTTCAAACAGTGTGCATTGGCCCTCGGGGATTTCTTGGTTTTAAAAAAAAAAAAATCATTCTGCCGGTGCATTAGAGATGTGTATCCTGTGTGACAGTTTTATCAAAATTGCGGTGTCCAATATCCTGTAGGTTCTTAAATATACTCATGTCTGCCCACTTAAATATACTCATTTCTGCCCACATACTACTAGACCTTTCTCTTAAGGAAGTTGGTTAATATATGGTCAGAAAAAATACATCTATCTGTATATTGATACTTGAGATATCAGTCTGTTCTATAATGAGCCAATCTCAGGTGTGTAATTTTTTTTTTATGATCTCAGTTGTTTAGTTGGTATGCTGATTGTATTATTTAAAACGTTTAGTGAAGAATATACTTAGTATACTTGAGCAATTATTTATATGTACACCACCTGTTCTAGTGCGGCTTCTGGGTTTAATGTCCGACTTGATGTTGCAAAAGCTCGTCTACATCTCTATCTGAGTATAGTAACATGAATTTAATCTCTTAAAATGGAAAAAAAATAGTCAATGAAACTGTAGATAGTGAGTTTTAGATTAATAATCGCGTTAGTTAGTATCATTCATGATTGAGCGTCAATATGAATTCTCTTTCCCCAAATAATCTGCTTTACATTAGCATTTGACTATTGTTTAAAATAACTATTTGAACTTCTATATCAAATATTTGCACTAGTCAAATGAAAAAATGGGAACTGCATAGTGCAAAGGGACCTGCTAGAAAGGTCCTTTTTTCTCCGTACCTTGAAACTTGATTTGACAGATGTATGAAGAGGTGATGAAGATGGTAATGTATGAGGCAATGTAAGGATTTGGTGCAAGGTCTGAGTATGTTGAGTAGGTGTAAGTTGATAACACCATTTGTACGTCAGGAGGTGAGTTTCTGGGGAAGGTGTGTGGGCTTAACAGGTGGTAGAGATTGATGATAAGGAGGGAGCCTTAGATGTGGCACAAGTGAAATTTCAGAGATGACATGCTCCTTTGATCATATGCGAAGAAAGGACGAGTTAAAAACTAAGTGACATCTGCAGATAGATATTCTAATTAGAATGAGGCAAATAGCCGTGATATCCATCCACCTCAAGAATATCCTAGAACTAATTAAAAAATTCCCTAGTTATACACTTAGAAGCAAAGTGTGTTAATTTCTCTTTCCCAAGGGTCCAAGTTATGGACAAAATGCTCTCTTCCAAATACACTAGTTGGTCGTGAATATAAAGTGTTGTAAAAAAAAACTGGAATAAGAAATCTGATCTATAGTGTAGTGAATGCATTTAATTTATGAGGTAGCAATATGTAAGAACACCATTAGCTAAAAACGTAATGGAAAATTAGAATGTACAAGCAGGCTGCATGTTGTTTCAATCGAGTGTTTATTTTCTTTCAGCTATCCTATGTTGTCGGGAAGTGCATATTAACTCAAGATGTATCCACCACACTGTGCTAAAGGAGATCTAGTCCAACTATAACAATCGTGTATGGAGAGTGCATGAGTAATGTTACGCAACACCTTCCTGATGTTCTTTGGAAGGGCAATGTAAGGCTAAGCAACCGATGTCAGTGCGGTTGCTGTCCGCCAATGAGGTCCCCTCCGCACGCTAGACTAGATTGTCAGTGCCGTGCGGGAAAACCAATATCACGAGCAATCCCGGAAGCTGAGAGAGAATTGGGTTTTGAATGATGATGATTTTATTGATGAATGAAAGCTGATTACAAAAGATGCGGTGTCGAGGGGGAGAGACACCAGTACAGAGAAATGATTGCTTGAAATGTTTTGATTGCTTGATCCCCCTAATAATGCTTAAAAAAAATAAACCAAAGTTACATGACTTGCCCTAATAAAGCTGTAGAAGCACACTGAATGAAAATGATGTAAACTAGCCTATAATTACAATGAAAAGGACTTAGTTTATTACAATGTAGAAACAAGTCCGATAGCAGCAACTTTGTCTTGCGGGTCAGGGTCTGCGCGCGCGATGCTGTTGGCGCGCACGACACTTGTTGTGTTTGCCTAAGGTTGGGCGCTGGTGCTTGGCATCAGGGTCTGTGTGCGAGGCGCTGCTGGAATTAGGGCTGTTCACTCGGATCGGATATCCGAAATCCGAACCGATCCATTCAATTTTGAATTTCGGATTTCGGATTGGATCGAATTTCGGATTATGTTTATTAAAATTTCGGATTTCGGATTGGTATATTTTAATCCAATCCAATCCGTAATCCGAAATTATTAGGACATGTATAAATACTACACTTTAATTTACATCAACCTCCAAGTTATTACCTTTACAATTGCTAGATTTAGCTATATTGGCACCATAGTACTCTCATAATTGCATAAACATGAATTTTTCTTAATGTATTGCCTCTTTTACAAAGAAAATATACATATTAGTTTAATTTTGAGGCATAATAATACGATCCGATATCCGATCCGATCCAAACTTTAAAATCCGATCCGATATAATTCGGATCGGATTCGGATTGCATTTTCTATAATCCGAAATCCGAAATTCAAATCCGAAATATGCTAAATCCGATCCGTGCACAGCCCTAGCTGGAATGGGCCTGCAGCTGGGCGCTGGCGAGGTATCAGGATTTGCGCGCGCGACATTGTCAGTGCGTGCGACGCTGTTGTCATTGGCCAGCCGCTGGGCGTTGGCGAGAGGCATCGGTGGGGCGACAGAGGCGCATGCGCGCTTGTCACTTGGCGCAGCCAAGACCATGGGGCCGACCATGGCGCTAGGCATTGCGAGGCTTGCTAGGCCGCTATGGGGCACGACCAAGGGGTCATGGAGCGTGTCTGAAAAGCAGCCCATGACATTCTCCCCCACCTGAGTTGGCACCGTCCTTAGAGCCATGTCAGGATAATGATGATGATGATGATGATGATTGGTCTAGTGGTTGATGGTTGGGAGGTCTGCGCCCCTCTGTTCTTTGAGCTTGCTTTGGTAGCGATGCAATGATTTCATGCGGCTGACATGAAAGACCGGATGGATCTTCCACCAGGATGGAGTTTTCACCTGGTATGTGGACTTTCCAATGCGTTTTTCAATGGGCAGGGGCTTTGTTGCAAGCGAGGGTCATGGGTCCTCTCTTCAAACAAGTATCGCTTTGGGATGCATAGCATTACTTTGTCCCTGCTTGATGATGGGCAAAGCAAAGATTATGTTCGGTGAACCATTTTGCCCGCTTTTGGGCTTTGACGAGATAGCTCCGCACTATCCCCATGTTGCGCTTCCCATTCGCTCGAGAAGTTGGTAGCTCGAGGAGATTTCGGCCTGGTTGATGCATTCACCGTTTGCGGGAGAAGCGGTTACTGTCCAGTAACAATTTCAAAAGGGCTTTTGTTTGTATGTTGACTCTTTTGAGAATTGAAACACAGTTGAGCAGCATCCAAGAGCCTCACCCAATGCTTCCGGGACCCGGTTGCAAAGTTGCGGAGATATTCCTCCAGCATGTCATTGAACCGGTCTGTCTGGCCATCCGATGGTGGATGGATGTCTGAGTTGTGACTCAATGTCGACCCAAAGCACTTTAAGAGATGAGTCCAAAAGTTGTTAGTGAAGCGTGAGTCGCGCCTACTAACAATGTCTTTCGGCAGGCCCCAATGTTTGACAATGTGCGAGAAGAAGAGTCGAGCTGTATCTTCTGCTGAGATGTTCTGCGGGGCTGCTATGAAAGTTGCATAGTTTGAAAACTGATCTATGACAACCAAGATGGATGCAAGATTACCGACTTGGGGCAATCCCATGATGAATCTGAGGGAAACACTTNTCTCTGTGGGACATCTAATGGCTGCGAGGGTCCCGTCTGTGATGAGTGATCCGACTTGTCCTTGTGGCATGGCTAACAAGTCTTCACACGCTGAGGAGCGTCACCAGTCTTTTGAGGCCGATGACATTATGGCTGATTGTTGTTGCGAAGGGTAGCCGGAACCAGGGGTTCATGTCTGTTGGCTACCTTCTCCAACTGCATGGCCGAGATGTTTCCAACGGCCATCTTTATGGGAATGCATGGTATGGTGCAGGGCTTGGCCCCGTTTTCTCCCATCATCAGAAACATGTTGGCATATGGTACCGGTATGGTGTTGGTTTACCTCATGAACTCCAAACCCACTATTATGTCGAAGTCATCTATGATTGCGATGCGCAGATCGATGCTTCCTTTGTATGGGCCAAGTTTCACTGGGACATCTGTTGCTGTTCCACCCAATGTCTGGGGTGGCGAGTTGATAGCCTTGACGCGACCTTTACTCTTTTGCACAACTAGACCCAGGCGCTCTACCTGAGTTGAAGCCAAGTAGTTATGGGTAGCACCCGTGTCTATTAATGCGTGAATGGGCTTGCCGTTCACTTTCAATTCGACGAACATTAGGGTCCTCATTTGTTTAAGAAGCCTCTGGTCCATCTTTTCCTTCCCTTTCTTGGTGATTGGGCCTGAGATTTTCTTAGGAGGACATGCACTGGTCCCCGCTAAGGCATGTGGGATAGAGCCAACAATTGCATTGACGGCGCCTACCTGGTCTGCTTCTGATGTGTCTGATGCATCTGACTCATCCTCGACAGTTTGATGAGCATTGATCTTTATGTTTGGGCATGCATTGTTCCAATGTGCCCCACCGCAATGAAGGCATTTTGAGGGAGGCTTTCTCCCCTGATTGTTGTTGATGGAGGCAGCATTGTTGGTGCTGGAGGGAGGAGTCTTAGTTTTGGATGCACTCCGATCTCCCCCGCTTTTGCTTGGGCCACCATTGCTGGGATGGTTCCCGTTGAATCCCCTCGGACATGCGGTTGGGGCCTGTCGTTCTGAGTTCCCAAGTGATAACCAAGACATTTTGTAGCTTGAATGGCCTTGGGCAGGGTGTCTACCCGTTGTCTCTGTAGTTCCATACGGGCATGAGGTTTCAAACCTTCTATGAATGCGAAGAGTTTGTCTTTGTCCCCCATGTCGCGTATGTTTAGCATGAGTGCGGAGAATTCGCGCACGTACTCCCGCACTGACCTGGTGTGGCGGAGCTCCCGTAGCTTTCTCGTTGCATTGTATTCCACATTTTTGGGGAAGAACTGCAGGCGTATGACTGCCTTCAATTCATCCCATGTCTGGAGAGTATCTTCACCGGCCTTGATGGCTTCGTATTTGACCCGCCACCAAAGTTTGGCATCGCCCTGAAGATATATGGCAGCAGTTGCTACCTCTTTGGATTCTTCTAAATGACCCACAGCATCGAAGTATTGTTCGATGTCGAAGATGAAATTTTCCACTTTTTTAGCATCCCGGGATCCGTTGTATGGCTTTGGCTCCGGTATCTTAAGTTTTTGTGGAATGAGGGTGAGGTTTGCTGCACCCCTGATGTGGTTGTCGCCTCCTCGAAGTAAGCTCTGTAGGACAACATTGACAATGTTGAGCTGGCCTGTCAAGTCGTCTATGGTTTGCTGCATGGCAGTTAGTCTGTCTGCCTCTTGTTCTCGATGGGCTAGATCGTCGGCACGCTCCCGTTGGAGGTCCTCAAATTTGCCATGAATATTGGCAGTTTCAATGGCTGCCGTTTGCCGGTCATCCTCAGAGTCACGACTGATGTTTGCAATGTCATTTTCAGCCTGCCGCATTCTGCGGTCCAGGTCGTCCAACCTTTGCACTAGGTTGTTATTTTGTTCAGGCACCGTATCCATGATGGGTCGTAATCGGTCAACCGGGATGAACTAGCAAATCAGAATCAAGAAACCACTAACCTCACTAACAAACTTGACCGAGTAAGTGTAATACGCAGCTATAAACTGACATTTGATACCCGGTAAATTGAACTAATCCATTCTGTCTTTTTATGTAATTATGTTATCCCAGGAAATTCATGGATTAAGGGCTCAGTTGGAAGCTGCAAAATATGATGTAATAAAATATTGTATAGGTACCCTTGTCTCTATATCTGCTGTTGGTTTGGCCGTAGTCCGTATTTTGAAGTAAGTGGCTAGAGTACAATGCTAATTATTGATAAAAAAAAATATTGTTGTTCAACATCCTTGCTGCTCAATGGATAAAGCAGAGTTGTATGACCCCTAAATCTCAATCGCATTAGCAGACATTATAATTATAGTGGACTCAGATAAACGTGCAATCCTGTTGCCTTTTTTTTTTTTTTTGAACGACTGGTGTGTTTTATGGATCCATGCATGTGCGCTTAGAGGCTCTGGGCTCTCCCATGACTCAACCCTTCTTATCTGTGTGTTGTCGACCACATCTATAAGTTGGAGGCTACTTGGGCATTTAGGAATTTCACCCCTACATACATGGCAACAAGATAAATACATCCCCTAGCAGAAAGCTATCAATTTGGATCGATAATCACGTTTAAAGAAATCGAAAGTATTAATTTTCTAACAAAAAGTCAAAAGGGGTTTAGTTTATCTCGTAATCTTCTCTTTAAATTGATTCACGGCCTAATTTAGCGCCCTACATCAGCTTCATAATTTCCATCACCAATAAGGAAACCTAATTCAGACTAAGTTAATCCAAACTCATAAATTGATTCCCTTCCTTTCCATATATATATTGCACATGTTTTCAAACATTTGTCTCCCATTTCTTTCCTAGGGAATATTTTTAATGCAGTAGTCATTTATAATTTTGATATACAAAAATTAAATGCTAATCAAGTTATACTATCCAAAAAATACTTACGCTTACTGGTCACTTTGCATAACCCATTTGTTCTCATTTACAAAAATAAAATTAATAAATTTGAAAAATAACATGTATAGTAATATACATACCGAAGCTTGGAATATAACCTCATAATTGCAATAATATATGTTGTATAAATCATGTATAAATTTTAATAAGCTATGTATAAATTATAATAGATAAATTATACACAGTAAATCATGTATAAATTATACCAGATAAAATACTAAGTAAAAACCATGTATAGGTTAATGTATATTTTATCATAAATTCTTGAGCTATTGTGTATATTGATTGTGTATTATTAATGTTAATAATAGTATATAATAAATATTGTTACACCCCATGTTTTTGTACACAAAAGTACGTCGTAAGTCAATTGATGTAAACTCCGAGATGGGATCATCTCTGAAAGTACATAAAGTAAGTTAATCATGTTACCTTGGCGGTTACAAATATTTAAGATCATGAACAACAAGTACTAAGAGGGTTGGAAGGCTTAGAAGCTAAATGAATCGAAGAAAATAAATTTCGTCGAAAGTCGACAAGTTTGAAATATTATAACATATATTTTTGGGGTGAGACTAGGGTGCTTAACATGATAAGGAGGTTATGTTATGAGTTATTTTAATCGTATGATAAACGTGTATTACGTTTTGAAGTCATGCGAGTTATGGAACAAAAGTTGACAAATGTCATCACAAGTTACATTCATAAATGTGCTGAAAATTAGGTCAAATGTACCTGAGCTTTTCTCCATATTTACTTGGAATTACGGGATGATACACCTACCTTATTGAATATCTACGAGTCTAGTTTCTAACGAATTAAACCATTTGTCGATTACATCTAAGTAGAGAGATATTCGCATTTTCGCGAGACTGTGCAAGCAGCTCCCTATGGGACCCAC